TTTTCTGATTCTTGTTTCTATTTTATTGCTTCTCTATTTTGTTGCATAAAGCGAAGCAGTTGCTGGATTTCCTTTGCATAAATTTAGGGAAATGCTATTTTTAGAGTAAGCTATGGGTGGTCCTTATTCCTATCATTTCCGGAATTGTGGTCCCTTTGCTTCCTTCCTTACAATCCTCATAATTTGTTTGGCACTTTGTTCATATTGGAGATGATTAAGATGATTGTAGAAGGAGCTTAAAGGAGATGGAGATGATTGCAAAGGGGCGAAGAAGATCTGGGGCTGGGTATCAAGAAACGACCTCGTTTTTTGTTGGGACTCCAATTTTTTTTGGTAGGTAGGACTGATCCACACTTTCCCGTTTTAAAATTCTTCTCTCTTCTTGATATTGTTGGCTATGGCTATTTTGTTACTGAAATTCAATCATCAAGCACAATGGCAGAAGCGAAGCGGATTTTGTATTGGAAGCTTTGATTCAAAATTGGATTAATTGTTAAAATAATTGAAAATGGATGGAATTTTTTAGAGTTTTGATAAAATAAAATTGTATTGATATCAAGACTGATTGAGAAAGTAACACCTAAAATTTTAGTAATTGCAAGATGAGAATGAAGAAGAAAACAATATAATTTTCCTTTGTACACAATAACCGTCGCTGTAACATTTCATTTCTCAACTTAAACACCAAAATCACAAATAAAAACACAGGTAGGGATTTGTTAAGAACAATAAGAAGAGAAGAAGAGGGTGTCGGCAACAAGTGAACCATTTTACATTCATTCTACTACCTAACAGCATTCTAAACCATGGCGCAAGACCACCCACGTTAAATTGAAGATGATGAAAGTCACCCACGTTTGCCGATAAAAATGAAAAAAAGAAAGAAGGAAAAACCACGATGATTTGCAATAGCCATAACAGTGAATGAGGTTTTGGAAATTGGGTGTGGACGGGGCACCAAACTGGGTCTTAAAATGGAAGATTGCTGGCTCACTTTGTTGGCCTCAAGAATTAGGATGGAAATTGGGCTGAACGAAAAGCAGGGAATTGGATATTTTAGTAAAGATTTCAGCCCACTTAGTTTGGGCTTTAGAAGATATAGAATTGGGTATTTTTAGAGAGATTTTTTTGTACTCAAATTTCAATATAAGGTACTCGAGATAGGAGATTAACCATTTTTTTTGTTGAACGGGGTACAAATGAGAGGGTGGGGTTCGATTCCCAACCTAAGAGTTGGGATGTATTTTCAAAAAGATTTAAAGTCATCGGATCACTAGGTTCAAGTGCTAGGAGATTAATCATTTTGTGTGGAAATTTTTGAAGAAAAGCATTTACCTCTATCATCATAACATATAAAATAAAAGAACATGATGAACAGTACATGTGTTAGGTCATTCAAAATTAGTTGTCTTACGACGAAATTGCCTCCTAGGGATTGGGAAGCAAAATAGCTGGGGAAGCAAAAATGTATCAGCGGGACTACCATTTTTTTAAAATAGTTAATAATTGAGAATTTATATTTAATGTTAGATATTTATTAATATTTATAATTTAAAATATTTAATCCATTTATTTAAAACTAATAGTTGATATTAATTTTTAAAAAGTCAAAATAAACATCCCTTATATAAATATGGGAAAAAAAGATGCTTTTATGTTATGTGTCAAAATAGCTGTTATTTTTTATTTTTCTTTAAATTAAAGATTTCAAAATAATTCATGTGCTTTTACTCTTAACAAATTAAAGATAAAGAGAAATTTTTTGTGATGAAATAACCAATTAAAAAAATTAATAATGATAGGTTAAATAAGAAAAAAATATTTATTTTAACTTAAAAATAAAAAATAAAAATTAATTTAGGGAAGAAATTTAAAGAAAAAATATAAAATTTATTTTGAAATAAATTTTAAATTAAAATTTTTTATTTTTTTAAAATAAATAGACTATTGATTAACAGTTTTACTCACAATTTACTTTTATTTTATTAATGATCAAATAATGACCATCATCCAACGAAATATAGCTTAATTAACGTTGGTATTTAAAAATGAAAAGGACAGTATAGAGAATAATGTTGTTGCATTGAAATTTTTAATGTTAGTTTTTAATGGTTAATTTTATTATTTGAATTTTGATAAATATCAAATTTAGTCCTTAACTTTTATCATAAATATTAGATATTATTTCAACTTTTTATTTAAACTAGAAATGGTCCCAAATCTTTTTTAAATCACTATTTTGAATCCTATTGTTAGCCATTTTCATTAAATTCTTAATGAAAATCCTATTAAAATTTTAAGAAGCCACCAAAAACACTGAAATAGTAAAAAGAAAAATAAATGGTTAAGTCATAATTTTTTCCAACAAAAAATGTGTATAGTTATATATTAACATTGTCGAATTCCTTTTTTTTTTTGGGAAAACTTCAAATATCGTTTTTTTTTTTTTTTGCCTTTTACTTAAT